ATCATATTCTGTCTGGTTGTGAGTTATTCGTCGAAACAGAGTACATCTCCAGGCACAAAAAAGCTGCAGCGTATCTCCACTGAAACATCTACAAGGATCATGACATCAAGGTTACAGACAAGTTGTACCAGCATGAGGCAGAGACTGTGATGCACAATAAATACTGATAGAACTCTAGCAGCGACCAGACCAGACCAGACATCATGATTAAAGATTCAGTGAATTCTACCTGCAAACTGATTGATATGACTATTCCACCAGACAGAAACATTGCGCTAAAAGAAATAGAAAAGAAGTGCAAGTACAAAGATCTAGAACGAGAAATACAGAGAATGTGGCAGATGAAAACCGACGTGATCCCTGTGGTTGTAGGTGCCCTTGGTACAATAAAGAAGGGAACGGTAGAAAACATCAAATAACAGAGACCCAAAAGATCGGTAAGCTGGGATCTGCACAAATCTTCAGGAAGGTCCTAAATATATGAACAGAATTAATGACTTGAGTGACTGATGCCCTAGGTGCATGGTTTGCACTCAGCTGAGGCACAAAAAGAACCCCCGCAAAGACTGACAGAAGAGATAGTTAGAGAAGAGATAGAGTTAATGATGTTTCTTCCACCCGCAGCAGAGTTAGTTATGGCGTTCCACAGGGCTCTATGTTAGGACCGATATGATTTACCTTGTACATGCTGCTTGTAGGCAATATTATTAGGAAGCATTGCATGCATTTCTATTGTTGTGCAGATGACACCCAGCTATATTTATCTATGAAGCCAAATGAAACCAATCAGTTGCTCAAACTCCAGGCATGTCTGAAGGACATAAATGCCTGGGTGACCTGGGTGTCCTTCATTTAAATCCAGAAAAAAGTGAGGTTATTGTATTTGGCTCTAAACACCTCAGAGACACTATCTAACCAGAAAGCTACTCTAGATGGCATTGCCTTGGCCTCCAGTTCTACTGTAAACAACCTTGAAGTTATTTTTGACCAGGACATATCATTCAATACACATGTAATGCAAATTTTTAGGACAGCCTTCTTTTATCTACGTAATATTGTAGAAATCAGGAACATTCTGGCTCAGAGTGATGCTGAGACTAGTCCATGCATTTATAACTACTAGACTGGACTATTGCAATTCCTTATTATCAGGATGTCTCAATAACTCTCTTAAAAACCTCCAGCTGATGCAAAATGCTGCAACCATGGATCTGACAGGACCCAGTAACAGATATTACTCATGTATTAGCTTCATTGGCTTCCTGTAAATTCCAGGATAGAACTTAAAATCCTGCTTCTAACATATAAAACTCTCAACGACCAGCCCCATCTTATCTCAAAGACCTTATTGTACCGTATCATCCCAGCAGAGCCCTTTGTTCTCAGACTGCAGGCCTATTTGTGGTTCCAGAGTTTCCAGAAGTAGAATGGGAGGCAGAGCCTTCAGTTATGGAATCAGCTCCCAGTTTGGGTTCGGGAGGCAGACACCCTCTCTACTTTAAGGTTAGGCTTAAAACTTTCCTCTTTGATAAAGTTTATAGTTAGGGCTGCTCAGGATCACCTGAACTCTTGCTTAGTTATGCCGCTATAGCTTTAGACTGCCGGTCAATTACCATGATGCACAGGGCTCCTCTCCTCTACTCTCCTCTCTCCTCCTTCCATACAGTTCTAACCACCATTACATATCACTAACTCTGTGTTTCCCCTGAGGTCCTGCATTTGTTCTCTCTGTGGACATCTCTGGATTTGGAGCTTCACGTCTCTGATCTGCAGCCGCTGGCCTCACCAACCCCCAAAATATTTTTTGTTCTGTTCTACTGCTTGCTCTCCATCTGCTATCCTGCTATCCCTATCCCCCTCATCCGTACTCTCACCCATACTATGTTAAGCGCTGTGAGATGGCATATGTTGTAAACTGGGCTATACAAGTAAAATTAAATTGAACTGAAGAGATAATAATTATAACAATAATCAGAATGCTGTTAGCAATCCACACTCCAGCGCAGATTAATGAGTTACAGAAATTTAATTTAATTTAATTTATTTTAAAGCTAGCTGTGACCAAGTATTATTTTAATTACCAATTTCCAAATTAAAAATTTCCATCCTTCCTTCCAAAGATAATGAACTGACAAAGCAGCAAGGTTTCACACTTAAGTCAATGAAATCAAACAATGTTTAAAGTTTTGGTCCCAAAAATGA